CATTACAGGTGATTCCATTATTACTTCTCTGGAACTTGAACCAGATATTTGTGTAATAAGGGTGTTTAAACTTTCAGGTAGCAGTCCAGAGAGGGTGAAAAAAGCAGACAGATTGATGGAGATGTTTATTGATGATATTTTCTTGTAACCCAGCTAACGTTTAAATTCAAGATGTTGATAATGTTGATGATAGTGACATTGTTACAATCACTTCAGATTTGAACAGGAAGCTTGTAACAAATCCTTCTCTTTGTGTCATTTATTATAATGATGATAATAGAGATGATGTTATCGATTTTAAACCAACCTTTCCCCTGTGTCATCTCTTATAACGATAGTGACGACCACGTTACAGTCAAGTTAGTTTTGAGTAGCCAGCTTGTAACAGACATTTCCTTTTTTCCCCCCTTCAAAATCTGTGTTTAGAACTGGAGCCTGACACATTCAGCTTTGGTTCTCGAGAATGTGCAGCCAGCAGATGAGGGATGGTACGTGTGTGGATTCAAAAATAGCATTGATTCGATTCATGAAGGAGCATTTCTGACTGTTCTGGAAGGTAGCTAACTTTAATGTCTACCACTACTTTTTTGTTTGTTTGTTTTTTGTTTTGTTTTTGTTGCTTGTTTTATTAGTGATGATTTCTTATAGACTTTTTTTTTTTATAATGAAAGAGTGTTAAACATTTGCTGGAAGCAAGAAGCTTAATCAAAATAAGGGAAATAAGGTAGGCATTTAAAAGCAGATTGTCAGATTAAACAGAGACAAGAAAGAGTTTTGTTATCAGATCTGTTCTTTGTCTTAGAAAAAAATAATAATTGGAGGGATCACAGGTAGACCAAGTGTGCAATTTGGAAGCTATCATATAAATCATCTGCTTTCTGCAGATAACATAGTATTGATAGCTGAACTTGCACAAGACATGTAGCAACTGTAGGCCATTGTTGTCATAGTTCCCATGTTTTTCTTTTTTTTAAAAGCTGGTTGTGTGTGTGAGAGAGAGAGAGAGAGAGAGAGAGAGAGAGAGAGAGAGAGAGAGAGAGAGAGAGAGAGAGAGAGAGAGAGAGAGAGTGACACATGCTGGAATAAAACAGATTAAATCACAGTTTAAAGAAAATGGGACTGGTTTTTTTGTTGTTGCTCGGAGTTGACAGGTCAACAGTTTTTCAAGTGTTATTCCCCTTTAATGTGTTTGTGTTTATGAGGTATGTATTTAATTCTTGGGTTTACTCTTGACTTTATTTATGTGGTTGCCCTGTTTTAGTATATATAGTACAACTGTTCCTTTTTCATATTATTGTTATGAATTTACCTGGTGTTTTACCTTTTAATTTTGTTTGCATGAATTGCTGTAGCCAGTGCTGTCAGAGAGGACATGCAATCAGCCGTCAATGTCAGCTACATCATCATCACCAGTGTCAGCTTGTTTGTCTTCCTGCTAATTATCATCATCATCATCGGTGCCGTCTTCTACTACAAACACAAGAAGTTGAGGATGACTCAGTACAAGCTGTATCACAAGAATGTAGGTTTATGTAGACAAGTCTGTATGTTTATGTAGACAAGTCTGTATGTTTATGTAGAAAAGCCTGTTTGTATATGTAGACAAGTCTGTATGTTTATGTAGACAAGCCTGTTTGTATATGTAGACAAGTCTGTTTGTATATGTAGACAAGTCTGTATGTTTATGTAGACAAGTCTGTATGTTTATGTAGACAAGTCTGTATGTTTATGTAGACAAGCCTGTTTGTATATGTAGACAAGTCTGTATGTTTATGTAGACAAGCCTGTTTGTATATGTAGACAAGTCTGTTTGTATATGTAGACAAGTCTGTGTGTTTATGTAGACAAGTCTGTATGTTTATGTAGACAAGTCTGTATGTTTATGTAGACAAGTCTGTATGTTTATGTAGACAAGTCTGTATGTTTATGTAGACAAGTCTGTATGTTTATGTAGACAAGTCTGTATGTTTATGTAGACAAGTCTGTGTGTTTATGTAGACAAGTCTGTGTGTTTATGTAGACAAGTCTGTATGTTTATGTAGACAAGCCTGTTTGTATATGTAGACAAGTCTGTATGTTTATGTAGACAAGTCTGTATGTTTATGTAGACAAGTCTGTATGTTTATGTAGACAAGTCTGTATGTTTCTGTAGACAAGTCTGTATGTTTATGTAGACAAGTCTGTATGTTTATGTAGACAAGTCTGTATGTTTCTGTAGACAAGTCTGTATGTTTCTGTAGACAAGTCTGTTTGTTTCTGTAGACAAGACTGTATGTTTCTGTAGACAAGTCTGAATGTTTATGTAGACAAGTCTGAATGTTTATGTAGACAAGTCTGTATGTTTCTGTAGACAAGTCTGAATGTTTATGTAGACAAGTCTGTATGTTTATGTAGACAAGTCTGTATGTTTCTGTAGACAAGTCTGAATGTTTATGTAGACAAGTCTGTATGTTTCTGTAGACAAGTCTGTTTGTTTCTGTAGACAAGTCTGTTTGTTTCTGTAGACAAGACTGTATGTTTATGTAGACAAGTCTGAATGTTTATGTAGACAAGTCTGTATGTTTATGTAGACAAGTCTGTATGTTTATGTAGACAAGTCTAAATGTTTATGTAGACAAGTCTGTGTGTTTATGTAGACAAGTCTGTGTGTTTATGTAGACAAGTCTGTATGTAGACAAGTCTGTATGTTTATGTAGACAAGTCTGTATGTTTATGTAGACAAGTCTGTATGTTTATGTAGACAAGTCTGTATGTTTATATAGACAAGTCTGTATGTTTATATAGACAAGTCTGTATGTTTATGTAGACAAGTCTGTATGTTTATGTAGACAAGTCTGTATGTTTATGTAGACAAGTCTGTATGTTTATGTAGACAAGTCTGTATGTTTATGTAGACAAGTCTGTATGTTTATGTAGACAAGTCTGTATGTTTATATAGACAAGTCTGTATGTTTATATAGACAAGTCTGTATGTTTATGTAGACAAGTCTGTATGTTTATGTAAACAAGTCTGTATGTTTATATAGACAAGTCTGTATGTTTATGTAGACAAGTCTGTATGTTTATGTAGACAAGTCTGTATGTTTATATAGACAAGTCTGTATGTTTATGTAGACAAGTCTGTGTGTTTATGTAGACAAGTCTGTGTGTTTATGTAGACAAGTCTGTATGTAGACAAGTCTGTATGGTTATGTAGACAAGTCTGTATGTTTATGTAGACAAGTCTGTATGTTTATGTAGACAAGTCTGTATGTTTATATAGACAAGTCTGTATGTTTATATAGACAAGTCTGTATGTTTTATGTAGACAAGTCTGTATGTTTATGTAGACAAGTCTGTATGTTTATGTAGACAAGTCTGTATGTTTATGTAGACAAGTCTGTATGTTTATGTAGACAAGTCTGTATGTTTATGTAGACAAGTCTGTATGTTTATATAGACAAGTCTGTATGTTTATATAGACAAGTCTGTATGTTTATGTAGACAAGTCTGTATGTTTATGTAGACAAGTCTGTATGTTTATATAGACAAGTCTGTATGTTTATGTAGACAAGTCTGTATGTTTATGTAGACAAGTCTGTATGTTTATATAGACAAGTCTGTATGTTTATGTAGACTAGTCTGTATGTTTATGTAGACAAGTCTGTTTGTTTATGTAGACAAGTCTGTATGTTTATGTAGACAAGTCTGTATGTTTCTGTAGACAAGTCTGTATGTTTATGTAGACAAGTCTGTATGTTTATGTAGACAAGTCTGTATGTTTATGTAGACAAGTCTGTATGTTTATGTAGACAAGTCTGTATGTTTATGTAGACAAGTCTGTATGTTTATATAGACAAGTCTGTATGTTTATATAGACAAGTCTGTATGTTTATGTAGACAAGTCTGTATGTTTATGTAGACAAGTCTGTATGTTTATATAGACAAGTCTGTATGTTTATGTAGACAAGTCTGTATGTTTATGTAGACAAGTCTGTATGTTTATATAGACAAGTCTGTATGTTTATGTAGACTAGTCTGTATGTTTATGTAGACAAGTCTGTATGGCAGTGGCATGAATATCTTATGCAAGTTTCTTCACTGACTACATGTAAACTTTTCATAGAATAAGACCCATTGACAGATATGATTGCATATATACAAATTTTTCAGAAAGATCTTAGACTCTTAAAGTTTATATACTACCATAAAACTAGAGACTGTTAAAACACTGACTCTCTTAAAAGAATTAGCTCAGAAAATGGGACCAGTTATCAATCAAGATAAGACAGAATGCATGATAATAACTAGACAGGGAAAGGATATAAACTCTGGCCACACACAAGTTGACAATATGAAAATCAAACAAACGGAAACATATAAATACTTGGGTGCAAACTTCAACTGCTCCAACATGCTGAGAGAAGAATACAATCTGGAAATAAAGTATACTATGCCCTACAACATATGCTAAAGTCAAAATGTCTGACTCGCAACACCCAAGATCAAAATATATAAAACATTGATAAGACCAGTCATTTTATATGGCTCTGAAACTTGGAGCACAACTAAAAGAGATGAAGCCTCAATACAGATTTTCAAAAAACAGGGTCTTATGGCAAATCTTTGGACCCATCAAAGATGCAAACAGCAGGGAATGGAGAGTGAGAAGCAACAACGAAATTCATAATCTGTTTAAATCACCATTGATCACTGGCATCATGAGTGCTAATAGACTGAAATGGTTGGGCATATTGAAAGAATGTCAGATGACAGAGAAGTAAAAACTGTATACATAAGGGAGATGAATGGTCATAGACCACAAGGCAGACCAAGAAGACGATGGGGAGATAATGTCCAGACAGACCTGCAAACACTTGGTGTCACCAACTGGAAAGAGAAGGCCAACCAGAGAGATCAATGGAGGCGGGTGGTATCTGCAGCAGTGAACCTCGAGGGCTCGGAATGCTAAAGAAGAAGAAGATACTACCATAAATATACCATAAATAATAGATAAGTACCAGGAGAATCAGGAGAGTTGTACAACTGGAATGGGCAAGCTCTCCAATACTTTTTTTCCCTGTAGTTAAACTATGAAAAAAAAATGTAAGGAATCATCATCGGGAGACATAGCTTCAACATTGCAGATGATTCATTGATGACTGCAGACAGTAAATACAATCTTTAAGCTTTAGTGGCTGCTTTTATTGTACACTCTACCTTATCTGCCTCTAAGCACGATGAGGATTTATCTCCGTGTGGGTTCCGGGGCCCTATTATAGGGAAAACAAGAAGAAACCCACTGCCTACCCAAAAGCATGTCATAAGAGTCGTCTAATTGGGAGCTTCCTTCGAAGTCAGAGTGCATCTGCCTGAGAGGCAAGGAACCAACAGTCTGCGTGCAAATGAGTCAGATCTGTCAAATGGATGCACAGGCCTGCAGTCCAGAAATGGACGAACAACCAAAACCTTCCGCTAGAGTTTACAGCTGGTGAACGTGAAGAAGAAAGAAGAAAAAGGTTAGCATTGATTAAATACAACTAACACACAACTAGCAATTTGTGGTCCTTTTTATCTGAACAGTGCATCGTTTTGTTTGTCTTCTTCAGGAAGCACCATATGCTGAACCTCTGGTAAAACCCAGGAGATGTTCTTCTAGATCATCAACCAGCAGTTACCCATCTGTGGGATCTGGGTCATCAAGACTGAGCACACCTCCTGATGATGCTTTTGAATTTCCAAGAAACAGGTGGGTAATCAAATTCTGAGAAAGTAAGTAGGATATATTTTCCTATAAAGAATGATGATACTTAGTTAGTTGGTAGATATTTTTCGTTGAAGCCAAATGCTTACATGTTCATGTGTTGTCTTTGTGTCTGTCTTTCATTGTGGTGGTGGTTTCAAGGATGGAGTCAGCCACAAGAGAGGGTGGTGAGCTTGTGCACTCAGGTCTCTAACAGGTCTTGTTTTGGATCCTTTATGTTGGTGATTCTATATTCATACCACTCTTATATTGTTCTGCACCGCTTGTCCCAACCTTCCTTTACCACTTCTACATTTGATCTACCTACATTCTTCTCCAATGCCTTTTCGTATCACATGACCACATAACAGTTGTGTATTGTTGTGTATAATGTTCCATTTTCTTAGCCCTTTTCGGCTCATTTACCTTTTGTAGTTTTAATGTGTTCTTTTGGCCACATTTCCTAATGTTTTTGCTGCAAAGATGTATTCTAGACTTTTCCCCATTTTCCTGCTTTTAATGTAACAAACTAAATTCCAACCACTGCAGATTTTTCACTGTGCACAGAATGTATTCAGAACTGTCTATCCTAGTTTGCCTGTATCCTCTGTATTTATTTAAGCACATTTTAAAAATATATCTGTCTATGTTGAATATCTGTTTAAAAAAACAAAAGCAACCCCTGATGCCACAGTTTTAACAAATTGCTAAGAATCCTGGAGATTTAGTAAAACAAGCTAAACAATTCCTTAAGGTCTCAAAGATGCAGTTTTACAGAAGGATGCATAAAATTATAAGTTTTAATTGTTTCATCTCGGGACAGTATTTTCCCATTCATGTAATAATGTAACAGTAAATCGTTAAAAACGTTAACAGTTAAACAAAAAAAGAAGTTCAACATTTTTTTGAGAAAGTAAGCCTATGTTTTATGTAAATGTTTTGTTCATTTTAAATGTGTTTGTATTCACACTGTACGGTGTACAGACATCTTTCTTCACGTAAGTTAATTGTAAATGTTATCTTAAAATATTAAAAATTTTTTTTGGACTTCCTTTATTCATAATAAATGTTTAAAACATAAATACAATACATAAAAAAGATTTATAAAGTACTGACCTCTACTAGGAGGTCTAAAAATATAAATAAAAGCAGGTTTTGATATAAAACAGGAGTTTTTAAATGATATGAGAGGGTATGTATGTATGTTGTACCCCACCAGGACATCACACAAGCGATAAACCCCTGTGACATGAAGTGCTACCATGCGGATGAGGATCACCTGGGGAGAGGTCCCGGAAACCTCGTTCAGCCATTACGCCATATTTATGGCTGGGCTATATTTAGGGCCCCGGGCAAAAGCCAGGGTGGGGCTTCAAAAAACTAAAAACTGTATTCCACAAGGGAATGACACGATTTATATAGGAGGGGTAGAAACTAAGTATTAATAGAACTCTGGCATATGCAGGTTTTGCCTACTCTTCGGCCACATCAGGCCAGATATTGCAGTCTACTGTATTTCATTTAGGCTGACCATCCATGAAACCCTAGGAGAGGGTGCCTTTGGTGTGGTGAGAAGAGCTGTGGCATATGGACCAGGCAGGGTGGAGACCAAAGCTAATGTGGTAGCTGTGAAGTCATTGAAAGGTATGTAACATGTTCTTTTTCTTCTGCCCTTTAGTCCCCATTGAGGAATAAGTTCTCCACCAGCTTGTCAGCTCTTCCAAATAATACACCTGACCTCCTGTCTCTCCACTGTACTTAAATATAATTCTCTTGTCATTGTGTTCCTAGGTCTACCTCCTTTCTTCAGCCTTGTAAATATCCCTACAAGGTTATTCTGGTTATAAATAAGATCAGGTTTTCTGTGCGGGTACCAGTAAATAAATGGTTGCAGTTTTAAGTAGTAACTTTTTGTTCATTGTTGGTTGGCATTTGCAGCTAAAGTTTTTTTTTAAATGTTTCCACAAGATAAGATAGCTAAGTGCATGGAAATGCCCTTATTCATTTCTTGCAAGCCTGGAAGGGATCTATGCGACAGTTTAGGAAATAACCTGGGGTTATTCATGGAGCTCCAGATTTCATTCTGTATGCAATACTCAAGGCATACGATCAGCCACTTCTCTAAGAATGATCTAAGGGAAGTCAAGTCTTAGTTGATTATGTCTCTTCATAAGATAACCTAGACATATTTGTTGTGATTTTTGAAAAGTGAAGCAGTTTTTTACAATTAGCCAGACTTTAGCTTACATTTTTATACCCACAGTAGTGGTGAAAGATGGATAAAAGATATGTTCCCTAAGCAATGATAATTAATAATTTTACAGATGGTGCCAGCCACGAGGAAAAGTGTGAGTTCCTTAAAGAAGTAGAGGTCATGAAGTCGGTGAAGAAACTTGGCAGTCACATCAACATTGTCAACTTCATTGGCTGCTGTACTTCAAATGGTAAATAAGCATGTCTGTAATAAGTAATTTATTATAACATTTAGCTACTTTAGATAGATCAGTGGAAAAAAAATAATAATACAAAAATTTAAAGACTGTCCCAGACGTAAGCAATCATTATGTAAGAAGCCATAAGAAGAAGTTATAAAATGAAATCCAGTATATTTCAAATAGTAGAAAAAGTAAAGATGTGGAGATATCTCAAGGGTAATTGTGGGTATAGCCATCCACAAATGTTTGAGTGTGTGTATAGTGGGTATGTGGTTTTTCTTCACTTTACAAAAGCACTCTTAATTAGCTACGGGACATCTCAGTTCTGGCTCCTTTGGCCTTTTCCACATCTACATGCTGCCAGCACTGTAACATGCAGGTCAGCTATCAGCATGCTTAACTGGTTGCATTCCTCAGTAAAATAACAGTTTTAGCTGAGTTTATTCATTTTGTGTTTTAGCCACTCTGAAATGACCCAAAACAGCACAAGATGTCATCTATTCAGATTTCTTATCTGGACAGATATAATGTTTAAAGGTCCCCTTTCCAAAAATTAGCGCTAGACCTATATTTTTATAGACTAATCGGCACTTGGTGGGTCATGTTGTCAGCATCATTCCGACCGCCTTTACTTCCCAGGACTGCACCTGGTGCCCATTAAGGCTGAGTCGACCTGGGAGTCAAGATCATTTTTTTGAAAAAAAAAAGGTCCAGCTCCGTCAGAAAGATACAATGTTTAATGTTTAATTAAGAATCAACATCACAGCACTCATGATATTCCCATAAGTGCACCCTCCCTATCTGCAGCAGGAAGCACAGAGTACCGATTCTGCTGGTGTCAGTAACTGTCTAATTGTATATACATCTCACCTTTCATCAGTCAGATCCCCTGGTAACTCCTCGCAGCTTCATTCTCCTCAGACCATGATGATCCATCAGTGCTTCCACACTGTTCACTTGCCCCCAAAGAGCTCTTAGTTCACTTGCCTCCAAAGAGTTCTTACAGCATCTAGCTTGTCATGCATAAGTTCACCATCGAGTTTTCCAGGGTAAGAGAACATTAGTCATCATCATCAAGCAGTGTCTTGTCATTTGTTGTGGGTGCTCAACCCTCTGGACAAGCAACAACATGGTGATGATACCCATTCGTGCCATGATGAAAGGCTGTCAAGAAACTTCTTCTGCACCACTTGGTGGTGAACTGCTTTATGGCAGGCTGGATGTTGTGGGGGCCCTTTGGAGCGTGAACAGTGCCGAGGCACATGAAGATCAATGCAGTCTGAGGAGAATGGCACTGCGAGGAGTTACAAGGGAATCTGGTTCGACACTCAGGGGAAAGGCAAGATGATATACATTCAGACAGTTACTGGTACCATCAGAATTTTGACTCTTTGCTTGCTGCTTAAGATGGGGATGGAGTGCTTATGGGGGTGTTTTGGCTGCAGGTAAGGACCAGAGACTGAAAATGGGAGAATCATGGATGGCTCCAGCAGAAGACACAATAAGACAAGTATGCATGCTGGAACATTGGGTGAGGAGAGGAATGGGTCAGATTACCAGAGGAAAAGTCTGATCTGTTTAGGGTAATGATCACATTGGGCCGGGAGGGCAGAGAGTGGCCAGCGGGTGCTACAGAGGTGGAAGTCCAACAGTTGATTCACGACAAGTCACGCCCAGATGATCAGACTATCTATACAGATAGTTTGGTGCTGAGAGAGAAGAGAAGTGCCCGGGGTTTCGTAGCGAAAACCAGTGGAAAATTTTTAGTGCAGGAGAGCCTAGCATACAATACCACAACATCTAGCATGAGAATGAAGGTGGAAGCGGTAACTGCAGCTTTTCGGTGGCTTGAGAACAAGATGCATACATATGTCGTAATTGTAACAGACTCTGAAAGATGGCTAAAAATGTTAAAGACAGGGATGCTTTGAGCAGTGTGGCAAGCTTCACTGAAGGTCACGGATTGTGAGCATACTTTGGATCTTCTCTCCAGGCTATGCTGGCATGGTGGGTAATGAACAGGCAGACAGATTGGCTGGATCTGCACCATTGGGTGGTTAATTGATACATGACAAGGCAGATGTGGTCAAGGTCCTTTGAGAACAAGCAATGGAATAAGAAGAGAAACAAGATTATTATGGCCTGGAGAGAATGAGGCACCTGGGTGTAACCAGAGGGTCAGGCCAGCTCACTACACTCAGAGGAAAGGCAAGATGGACATATAACCAGATTTTGACAAGTACCATTATTATTGGATCTCTGTGCTGGCTGCTGAAGATGAGGACAAAGCTCACATGGGAATGCCCTGAGTGCTGTGATGTCAATTCTTGTCTTAGCTCAACTTCACAAGTCTTCCCAGTTGTCACACCATATTTATCAATGAAAAATGGGAAAGGGATGTGGAAAGCAGTGATGAAACATAAAGGAAAGAAAAGGTTTGTAATAGTGATGAAAGAAAGCAAACATATGGAATGTGTGAATGTGTGAAAAATGGAAGAGGTGCCAACAGTTACAATAAAATTTATTGGCATGAACTGCATGTTCTTTCCTTTCCTTTCCAGGTCCATTATATGTCATTGTTGAATACTGCAAGAAAGGTAATCTGCGCGACTACCTCCTGTTGTTCCGAACCCAGCCCAACAGACTGTCTGGCTGGAGTGAGAACGCAGAGATCTTTGTACAAGGTATGGAAGGGGAAGAGGCTGTCCATGCCAAGAATATGCTGTCACAGAAAGTGCTCTTGTCCTTCAGCCATCAGATTGCTCGGGGAATGGAATTTCTTTCTTCCAATAAGGTGGTTCTTATAACTTCTCTCTTTTTGTTGTGTGTGTGTCTGTCTTTTTAACCTGATCACACAAGTTCTCATAAAAGGTAGACATAAGAAATGCAATAACAAGTGCTCATAGAAGGTAGACATAAGAAATGCAATAACAAGTGCTCATAGAAGGTAGACATAAGAAATGCAGTAAGAGTGCTCATAGAAGGTAGACATAAGAAATGCAATAACAAGTGCTCATAGAAGGTAGACATAAGAAATGCAATAACAAGTGCTCATAGAAAGTAGACATAAGAAATGCAATAACAAGTTCTCATAGAAGGTAGACATAAGAAATGCAATAACAAGTGCTCATAGAAAGTAGACATAAGAAATGCAATAACAAGTGCTCATAGAAGGTAGACATAAGAAATGGTGCTTCAGCTATGTTGACCCAACCCACCGCCACTTGGCCTAGACAAATAAGAGTATGTCACCATGTATGATGTGCCAATGACATGAAAAGGGTTCTTCACTTCATTTACTACAGTGTTGTGCTCAGTATCACACATTCTGGCTTTACTTCCCAGGACATTTCCATGGGAGCCATAGTGAGTTTCAAAAATCCATCTCAATACATGTTTGAATCTCTGACCATCAAGCTGACAGGCAAGCAAGCTAGCCACTTGGGTGCATGAACACTGATCAATGTACCAGTAATCAACCCATAAAGTATAATTTTCCAGTATACATAAATGAGAGAGCTCTTCCACTTTTGGTCACAAAATGTTCTCCTTATTAAAACATTTATTGATTATTAAACTATAAAGGACAGATATATGGAAATAAGTATTTAAAACAAGAAATAAAACAACCATTTTGTACAAATGAAGAAATGTTAGTGCTCTTTTGTTGCTAAGCATTAGATCTTCACCAATTTTAGGCCATTACATAAAAGGTACGGTGATCACATTCCATCTCATCGCCTTTTTTGAAAATTGTCCCGTACCCATTTTTATTAGGCTACATACTCAAGCCATAATGGTGGGTGAAAAAAATCCTCGCAGATATTGGCACCCATCCTCAGATACTGGCACCAAGCCCCTGATATTGGCACCCAGCCCCTGATATTGGCTCCAGCTCCAGATTTTAGCACCAGCCCCTGATATTGGCACCCAGCCTTAGATATTGGCACCAGCTCCAGATATTGACACCCAGCCCCTGATATTGGCACCCAGCCCCAGATATTGACACCCAGCCCCTGATATTGGCACCCAGCTCCAGATATTGGCACCCAGCCCCTGATATTGGCACCCAGCTCCAGATATTGGCACCAGCTGCAGATATTGGCACAAGATTTTGGCACCAGCTCCAGATATTGTCACCAGCTCCAGATTTCGGCACCAGCTCCAGATTTTAGCACCAGCCCCTGATATTGGCACCCAGCCCCTGATATTGGCACCAACCCCAGATATTGGCTGAACCATATTTTCAACATTATGGTCCCTGCATATAACCCTGTGCTACGGAAGCTGACTGTTACATATTGGTACATTGTTTTACTTGCTCCCCAGACAATTCACAGAGACCTGGCTGCAAGGAATGTGCTGGTTACAGAAGATAATGTCTTGAAAATTGCAGACTTTGGTTTGGCTCGCAATGGTGATTATTACAGGAAAACATCTAGGGTAAGTCTATTGACTTCTTTTTTCTTACAGTCCATAGGGCTTTGGTCATCATATGTTGCACAGCCTTTTTTCTTGATCTCATTAATGAGTCATTTTTATTGGATAATGTTGCCAGGTTTGTTTGTGTGTATCTTTTCTTTGAAATCTTATGCTGCATATCTGTAGTATTTTGGCTATTGTGAGGTTGATTTATCTCCATCTATTATCATTTGAATTAGTATGAAGGCTTTCTTATTTTTGCATCGAAATCTCCTAAGACAATTAGTACATCCCGTTTTTGAGTGTTCTCTATGATATTCTCAAGGAGATCATAGAAATCTTCTTTAGTATCATCTTCTTTATCTTCATTGGGTGCATGAACATCAATCATTGTGATTGTCGTTCATTTTCATAACTTACAGATCCTATCATTAACAGCTTCACAATTTCGAACACTTTCCCACAACTTTTTCTTGATAACAAATCCTGTCCCTAGTTCATGTTTGTTTTGAGTGTTTTCTCCATACACTTACGATCATTCTGTTTTCCTCTATGGTACCCTGTGCTGGCCATCTTATTTCTTGAATTGCTGTTATATCTTGTTTGTATTCTAATAAACACGGGTCAGTTCTTCAACTGCTCCAGCTCCATAAAGGGTTCGTACATTCCATGTTCTTAAATCTCAAAAGTCCTTTAACGTTCCAGTTTTGATGTCCACTTAAATCCATCCAAAATCTAGGCTTTGATATCTGTTTTGTGAGAAAATGAAATTTTACAAAGGTGGGGGTAGTGACCCCATGCTTCAAAACCCCCCCACATGGAGGACTAGGGTGTCTCTCTTTGTTCTCTACCCTTTGATCTTTCTGGCTTAGAAGGCCCTGCTGGTAGCTAAACTGCTGTCAGCCCCTGATAACCCACACAACAGCTCAAAAGTTATGGGATTGGTTTGCAAAATCCTGTAAAGGACATGTAACTAATTCCAACTTTTTAATAATCTGCAGGGACAGATCCCAGTGAAGTGGATGCCACCAGAGGCATTGATGGACCTCAAGTACACAGAAAAGAGTGATGTGTAAGTTTGTGTATGTTTAGTTTAGTATCTAGGTAATCTGTTCATCACAATCTCTTTTTTTTAAAAAACTAAAGACCTCCATTATGTGTCATGGAAACATCCTAGATCTGGCCACTGGCACCAGCTGGACCTTATTCTCACAAGAAAGTAGCACTTAAACTGTGCATCACTAACTAGCAGCTACCACAGTGCTGAATGTGATACTGACCATTCCCTAGTTGCTACAAAAGTTTAGGATGAAACCAAAGAGAATTTTCACTTCAAAAAGCAAATATATCCCTAGGTTAAAAATTTCCCAAAAGACCCTAAAAAGTGTTTTGAGTTTCAACAACAGCTCGAAGATGCTTTCACTGATATCCAGGATAACTCTACAGCAAGCCTAAAATAGGAGGTAATTAAGAAGACTGTCTACAGAACAGCTGCATCAGTCTATGGGATTAGAGAACATAAAAGTAAGGACTGGTCTGAAGCAAATTGCTAGACATTCTAACCCATAATTAACAGCATAATTAACAGCGAAAAGTTAATACTTCTCATAAACAAGAAAAGAACAACAAGGAACACTCTCAATTAATTGACAGAAGCTAGAACTTATTTCAAACATTAGCTAGACAGTGTGCCAATGACTGCTGGATCCAATTGTGAAAGCATTCAAAATGCTAGAGGTTTGTTGGGGGTGGGGGTGGGGGGTGTGGGAGGTGGGAATAAAGAAGGCACCACTAAAGAATTTGAATGGGAAAATTATTAATGACAACAAGAAGCAGTTAGAAAGATGGGTGGAACATTCTCTGGAGTGTATTCAGTTGATACTAAACTAACAGATGGTGCTCTTAATGCCATGGGGACGCTACCAACTCTTGACTATCTGGACACATTTCCAACAGTTGTAGAAGTTAGCAATGCCATTGATGAACTGGCTTCAGGAAAGGCCCCAGGCAGAGATGAAATTCCTACAGAGATCATCAAGAATGGGGGAAAGACTTCTAACCCCACACATTCATCAGCTTATAACACTGCTGGCAAGAGGGACAGGTTCCTCAAAACTTCAGTGACTCAAGCATCAGAGCTATGTACAAGAACAAGGGTGATCGGAGTGATTGTAATAAGCAAAGAGGAGTATCACTGTTGTGTACTGTTGAAAAAGTACTTGTAAGAATTGTTCTGTGAAGACTCCAGATCCCAGGGGACCAGGTTTTTTTTCCAGAGTCAAAGTATGGCTTTCATCTAACTGATCTACCACTGATATGATATTTTCATTATTACAGTGGCAGGAAAAATGCCATGAACAAAATCAACCACTGTATGTTGCTTTTATTGATCTTACCAAGGCATTTGATTTGGTTAGTCAAAAAAGGTCTGTTCAACACACTAAAGAAGATTGGGTGTTCATCTACCCTACTGAGCATTATTGAGTGGTTCCACATAGATGAGAAAGGTACTATCAACTTTGATGGTGTAGCATCTAGGAGTTTTTAATCGACTATGGAGTGAAGCAGGGATGTGTACTTGCTCCTACCCTCTTTTCATATCAGGAGGGTGTATATTCATTCATTCTTGATCTGGCAGCAGTCTTTACAATGCTTGTAGGCTGAAGGTGTACCAGGATAAGAAAGGTACTTGTCAGAGAGCTGCTGTTCGTAGATGATGAGGCAGTAAGCATCCACTCAGAGGAGGAGCTGCGATGTTTACTGTCTGCATTTGCTAATGCATGCTATGAATTTAGACTAACAGTCAGCAAAAAAAGAAGACAAAGGTTATGGTGCAAGGTGTTAATGATAGACCTGCAGTCTAAATTGATGGTAAAGAGCTGAAGACAGTTGACCATCTTATCTATCTGGGTTCCGCAGTGAATAACAAACTATCGCTAGACTAAGAATAGGATATGTAATGCAGCAACAACAGTGAGCAGATTAACAGAAAGAGTTAGGGAGAGCAGAAAGATCACAATTAAAACAAAAACTCCTGATTATGAGACTTTTGTTCTCAGCACCCTGCTTTATGGTCACTTTGATCAACTTAGTCAACGTATTCACACAAGGAGAAATGGCTAAGCAGCTTTCACATGTCTTCTTTTTTCTTCTTCGTGTTCACCAGCTGTGAACTCTGGCGGAAAGTTCTGGTTGTTCATCCACTTCTGGACGACAGTCCTGTTCCAGAACCTGTGTTGCGTGTGCATCTGTTTGACAGATCTGACACATTTGTGTGCAGACTGTTGGTTCCTTGCCTCTCAGGCAGATGCACTCCGAAGGAAGCTTCTAATAAGTAGATTCTTATGACATGCTTTTGGGTAGGCAGTAAGTCTATTCTTGTTTTCCCTATAATAGGCTCCCAGAACCCACAAGAGGGGGGGGGGGGGGGGAACTTTCACATGTGATGCCTAAGAATAATACTTGGAATTGCATGGCAGGACAAAATCGCAAACACTGAGGTACTGGAAAGAGCAGGTATTACAAGAGTTTTCTCAGTGCTCAGTCTATGAAGACTCAGGTGGCTGTGTCACACATGGGGAATAGAGATGGCAGAGTCCCTAAGGACATCATATATGGTGAATTAAACAACGGGTAAAAGATTTTGATGCTGACCTCTACTACAATATAAAGATGTGTGCAAGCAAGACATAAAATGATTACAGAAAAGTTGAATGCTGAACTTCTGAGAAGAAACAGGCTAAACAATGGTCCTGAAGTCCCATGCTATAATTGTGGAAGACTTTTCTTAAAGTGGGCGGGTCTTGCTAGTCACACATGCTGTCGCTATTTATATAGAACAAAATTAAGATATAGATTACTGGAACAACATATTAGTGTAACAACTATATAAAAGAATAGGAGATGTACATAGAATATTGTAGTATGATAGTATTTACAAAGAACAAGATGAGATAAAGATGATAGAACAATGTATTAGTGTAACAACTGATAGAAAAATAGATGTACATAACTAGAACACTGTGTTACGCTAGGAATTATAAAGATAAAGACCATTAGAACAATACAGCTGTTTAGAAGAACAGGAGTGACCGGAACATTGTGTTATGGTAGTAATTATGTAGAACAAGATGAGATAAAGACCATTAGAACAATACAGCTGTTTAGAAGAACAGGAGTGACCGGAACATTGTGTTATGGTAGTAATTATGTAGAACAAGATGAGATAAAGATATTAGAACAATGCATTCATCTAACAACTGATAGACAAATAGGTAGGAACAAGCAATACTTATTTTAGAAAAAGAAGATTTTTATGGCCTGGAGAGAATAAGGCACCTGGATGTAACCAGAGGGTCTGGCCAGCTCACTTCACTCAGAGGAAAGGCAAGAGAGGGCATTTAACCATCAGTATTGGAACTCTGTACAAGGCTGCTGAAGATGAGGACGGAGCATGCATGGGAATGCCCCGAGTGCTGTAATGTCAATTCTTGACTCAACTCAACTCAAGCGATATTTATGGCAAGATATAAAACCTGCATGAAAACAGGGTGAGTTCAGAGATTGACAGTGATAAGTAAATAGTCTTCTTTCTTTCTCAGGTGGTCTTTTGGAGTAGTGATGTGGGAAATTTTTAGCCTGGGTGGAATGCCCTACCCTACACTTCCTTATGAAGATTTGTACCACAGACTTATTGAAGGCTACCGACTGGAGAAACCACCTCTGGCTCCAGACTCCTTGTAAGTCTTCTTGTGTTATTACTAATATTTGTTCCCCTTTCTTTTTCCTGTGAACTTTTTTGAAAAAACTATTGTATCTGTTGTCTTCCTCTAAAGTTTTCCCTTTGTCTGGGGAGAGGGAGGATATTTATGTTACCACATTAATGTATCTCTTTAACAACATAAATGAACTTCTCTGTTGATAGCTGATTCAGCTATGTTCTCTAATCTCCCAAACAACATAAATGAACTACTCTGCCAGTAACCTGACCTTGATAGCTGATGTAGCCATGAAACTGCAACATCTAACAACCATGATTAAAAAAAAAAGAAAACATATTACAGGGGATTGAAAAGAAAGAAGTAATTTCAATAGGAATAAAGACACAACATTTAAATATAGCAGTAGAAAGCAAAGGTATTAAACAGGCATCTGAGTTTAAATATATGGGAACAACATTTATCAAAGATGGCAAATTTGATGAAGAAATTGACATCGGATACAGTAAAGCATATCAAAGTATTGGGACTTAGTCTCCTCTTACAGCACAAGACAATCCCAGTCAACACAAAGAAAAATCTCATACAAAGCATATTCATTCTCACCCTTAGTATCATAACTCTTCGCTGGCTGCTGAAGATGGGGACGAAGCACTTATGGGAATGCCCCGAGTGCTGTGATGTCAGTTCTTGAATCAAATCATTCTCACCCTATGCTACCTACCATTGCCTGACATGGTCACTCATAACAAACCAGAAAAGACAATTAGTTAACTATGGAAATTCAGTGTATAAGAAAGGCTGCAGGAGTGACCAAATAGATACTATCAGAAATGAAGTGATAAGAAATGAAAGGATAGAATCAGTTCTAAATTATAAACAAAGACAGCAAATACAATTGTTTGTCCATTTAGGGAGTATTGCTTGCCATGCCATACAATATAGGGCAATTACCTAAACTGGAGAGGGGCATACAGCAAGTGGTAGACCAAGAACAAGATGGAAAGATAATATCAGAGAAACTCTACAATAGCAGGGCTGTTTATGGTCTAGGTGGCCAAAAGACCATGAACTAGAAGCTTAAATCTCCCTCAACCCCTGAAGTGGTGAAGAGAAAGTGAAGAAGAAGATGAATCTCTTCTTCTCTTTTTCTCTTGGCAGTTTGGCACTTTTAGAACACACTAATCTATATGTAATCTTCTTGTAAGTTTTCTCATTTTATTTGTGCTTTGAAACATTCGTGAACACATAAATATTATCTTAGCCATTCCCAATTGTACCAATGCTTTATTAGTGATTGCCAAACATACGTCCTCAATGGAAACCAAGGCCTCATTATTTACGTTTGGTGTTAATTGAATGTTGAATAATAGGAGAAAGCCAACAGATAATGTGTCTGGTCTGGTCTGGTAGTCTTAGTTTCAGCTTCATAGCAAACGGGTCGCCCCATCTTTGCTCCGCTCCTGTGCCAGCGAAAAACACTCAGAATGTCTATCACAGTGCCTTGTGGAAAAATTGACAGACTGCTGTCTCAGCATATCTAGCATACACTCGCATTAAAGCATATGGTAGCCATCCGAAGTGCTAACACAAACAGTCCAACATTAGAAATGCAGTTCATCATTGATGATAGCAGAACTTGTCGCCAACAAATCAGCAGTTGCCCACGCGATCAATTTTAATACAGGCCCCGCCAGCATTGCACGACAGGCATCGCGCCATTTTCTGAATCTACAATTCACACCACGTTGGTCACAGTCGAAAAAAGACATTCCAAATGCAATCCGCAGCTCACAGGGTCACGCCATGCATTCAACTCAGAAGCTGGGCGACGAAACTATATCCAGTCTCCAAATGGAGCAAAAATACTTCGGCCACCGTCCGGCGGAAGCAAAAAATTTGCCTCTGCTCCGAACAGCGCCGCTGTCTAGCGTCCATTTTAACCGGAAGATAATGTGTAGACATTGAAAGTATATTTTACCTTTAGCAGTTCCAATGGCAAGTGAATAATAATAACAATAGTAACAATATTAATAATACACACTATGCACTATTATTCAGAGTGTGGTAGAGCGGACATCTTACCATTTTTGCCATGTCAAGCATTGTAACATTGTACTGTGCTCACATGTGTGGTTGAAATTTATTATTTTTATATTTCATCGCCTCCACCAAAATGAAATTAGTGTGTTTTTTAAATTTTTATAGATTTTTCGAACATTTTTATCACCACCTATAACTGTGATAGGTAGCATCCCGACATCAAAACAAAAATTTCATGTAAATTTTAGCTAAATGGTTTCCGAGTCGATACGACACAAACAGACAAACATTTTTTTTTTTTATATATAAGATTAATTTTCTGTCCAGGATTTAGGTGTGCGAGGCTGATAGAATAGCTGCTGCCACTCTTCTGGGTGGTGAGCTACTATATGATAAAGCGTAAGTGGTGAAGGCTCTATGGGATCAAATGGACAGTGCAAAAGAACAGATAGAGAATCCATACACTGAAAGACTGATACATCATTGAAGGGGAAACAGAGGCAGACTTTTAATCAGGTTGCAGCTGGTACTGTTAACATGTCAACGCTTCGTTGGCTACTGAAGAAGGGGACAGAGCACATGTGGGAATATCCCGAGTGCAGTGATGTCAATTCTTGATTGATTGATTCATAGTCAATATATTATACAGCAGCATAGATTAGAATTAAACATTCTCACTTTAACACAGCTCAGTTTAACACACCTCAGTTTAACACAGCTCAGTTTAACACAGCTCAGTTCAACACAGCTCAGTTCAATGCAGCTCAGTTTAACGCAGCTCAGTTTAACACAGCTCAATTCAACACAGCTCAATTCAACACAGCTCAGTTTAACGCACCTCAGTTTAACACAGCTCACTTTAACACAGCTCAGTTCAACACAGCTGACTTTAACACAGCTCAGTTCAATACAGCTCACTTTAACACAGCTCAGTTCAACACAGCTCACTTTAACACAGCTCAGTTTAACACAGCTCACTTTAACACAGCTCAGTTCAATACAGCTCACTTTAACACAGCTCAGTTCAACACAGCTCACTTTAACACAGCTCAGTTCAATACAGCTCACTTTAACACAGCTCAGTTTAACACAGCTCACTTTAACACAGCTCAGTTTAACACAGCTCACTTTAACACAGCTCAGTTCAACACAGCTCACTTTAACACAGCTCAGTTCAATACAGCTCACTTTAACACAGCTCAGTTTAACACAGCTCACTTTAACACAGCTCAGTTCAATACAGCTCACTTTAACACAGCTCACTTTAACACAGCTCAGTTTAACACAGCTCACTTTAACACAGCTCAGTTCAATACAGCTCACTTTAACACAGCTCAGTTTAACACAGCTCACTTTAACACAGCTCAGTTTAACACAGCTCAGTTTAACCTTGGTGTCAGTCTGGATTCTGTTGTGTAATTCATCTGTCATCTTGACAGATCATTTCATAACTTTATTAGCAGCATGGACAGTCAAGTCCTTGAGCTGTTACACATTTCTGTATTTCAAATAAAAAAAGTTTATCTGAAATTACAATAGTTGGTATGCCAGTTTGCAGCATCACATATATTAACTTGTCCTGTTCCTCTTCCAGGTACGATACAATGAGAAGATGCTGGCATAATTTTCCCAAAGATCGTCCTGACTTTAAAACATTGGTGTTGATCCTAGAGAGGCACTTGGTGCGGGTGTCTAATGGGGTAGGTAACTGTTGCTTTTGTCAAGTGCTAATGTTCAGCCTATTTCTTCTAAGTAATGGGAGCTTACTCTCAATAGAGATCTATCCTGATTGTAACTGACTCAGAAAGCATGCTGCGGAAGATCAGGACAGGCATGCTTTGTGCAGAGTGGCATGCTTTGCTGCGGAGGAAACAGGTGAGGGGTATTGTCTGGATTTTTTCACTGGGTTACGCCGGTGTGTTGGGAAATGAACAGGTGAACAGACTGGCTGGCTCTGCACAACTTGGTGGAATACTGATGCATGATAAGGCAGACATGATTAGTGCCTTGTGTAAGAGCGTGTACAGTTCAAAGGAGCAGATGGATCACCACAGTCTGGTGAGATTGATGCAGCGGAGAGTGACGAGAGGTTCTGGCAGATGCTCGAGGCTCAGAGGAAAGGCATGACGGACGTTTAATCAGAATGCTACTGGCACCATTAGTATCGAAACTCTTCGCTGGCCGCTGAAGATGGGGACAGAGCGCATATTGGAATTCCCCGAGTGCTGTGATGTCAGTTCTTGAATCAAATCAAATCGAATCAATAGAGATCTATGAAAGCAAAAGTAGCCAGTATAATACTGTCCATTATTACTCCCCCTGTGTTGGTTGTTCCCTGAAATTACTGCACTATTTGACATCTACACAAGGCTTTGCTTTTTTTTAAATATTCGACCTGTGTTTGGTTAATATAAATTTATGTTACCTATGGCATTGTTTCAATGGTTTGAAATAAATTCTGTCTGTATTCAACAGTATCTTGGCTTCCAGTCGACCCAGTCTTAAATGGGTACCAGATAAAGTCCTGGGAAGTAAAGGCAGCTGGCATGATCACATCACTCACCGACTGTTGATCTGTAGAATACAGGTCTAGCACTGTATGCATGCCCAATATGCCTTTAGGCATAGAAAAGGCATCCCCCCCTCCTTTTTTGTGTGTGGTGTGACTTTATGGATTTATGGAGATTCGTGATATTTTACTGTTGAATGAGATTAAATATCTTGTATACCCTACAGTGGTAACTGCGACAGCTGTAGCCAGGACCAGTTTTAACTCTTTTTTTTCTCTATCTGTTCTCAACAGGGTTATCTGGAGGTCATGTGATGTGACCCTGTTCACTGCACCTGACTGGCTAGTTTGGGATGATGCCAGAATAAATTAAACTGATGTTTGTAGTCTACTAAACTTGGATATCCACATCATTGCATGTCCAAAGGAAGCTCAGAGATTATCAAGTTCAGTCAGAAATACTCACTTCAAGGTTACAATATACATCAAATCAAGAGAAGTACAGCATGAAACTGGTGTTCTCTCTCATCTGCATAATGAGCATGAGTCAAATAACTGGCACATATTTCAGAGAGAGACACTTGTCAGAGATCAGGGATTTCTTGACCAGTGTTGGACAAGGTATCATCTATGTTCACAGACCCGAATGAT